AGGAAGCACTTTATTTAATTTATAACCTGTGACTATGAATCGGTGTGCACGTATGTAAAAAATTAATTTAAAACTGGACTTAATGTGTAAACTTGAATGTATGTATATTATAAGCACGAGCAAATACAATCGAGTGTCTTGGGTGTTACGAAACAGTATCGTATGCGCAAATATTCGGCATTCCCGATAGTCGAAAAATATTTATAAAAAAAAAAAAAAACCATACCAAATATTGAAGTTGATAGGAAGGCATGTATCGGCAAGTGTCGCACGGAAAAACAATATTAACAGAGTTCAATCACGATGCGTAACATCATTTAATATGGTTCACGGAGACATAAATAGGGCTACAACATGTTTGGGCACTAAAATGTAAAATGTATAACTAATGTATAAATGTAACCTTTGTTTAAAAAGTATATAAAATATGTAATTACATGCATAATATATATATATACAAATATACATATACATCAAAATAATATAGGTAAGTAATAGGTAAGTTATATAGGTAAAGTATATACTGTATATCTGTATATACCTTTATTATGGCGCGACGGTAGTGGCGCGAAGCTATGTAAAAAAAAAAAAAAACAGAGCGGTCACTACCGTAGTACATTACACGAGCACGATAATAATAACCACATTCCGGACTTTTTATGATAATTAATATTATAGTAGAAAGCGATAAAATGCATAATCACAGACGTTATTGAAAATATCGAAAATCTATTTACCTATAATTTCCTAAGTTGTATTAATATTATAGCAAAATGCAATAGGTTATTCATATTTATTTCACCATAAGTCCATATCAGACAATCAGTCCGTAGTCGCTTGTAGAATGTGTAGTGCTGTAGTCGCTTGTCGAGTATGTAGTGCTAAAGTAAATATTCTTACCATAGACTCCATAGATGATATATTTGTAACAAAACGAGGAAAACGAAGTGTTCTGATACAGGGATATAAGCTAAGTGAAAAAAAACAATTGAAGGACCGAAATTTTCACTTCAGATATGCAAATCGTAAATGTAACATAACAGCAATCATTGGTGAGAAACTTGATTTAATAATTTCACAAAAAAATGATCACAATCATCCGGCCACTTCTGAAAATATTTTAAATCAATAAAAAATAATGTCTAAACTTAAACGAAAGGCCATTGATGATGTGTTTACTAAATCAAATAAAATAATCAGAAAAGTACAGTTACTGTTATTATAAGTCATTCAGATGTGCGTTTATTTAGGAAATTTATGAATGAAGCTAGACGAAAACTAATATTAACTATTCCTAAATTAATAGACGAGGCTAAACTTCAACTGTTTTTAAATCAAAACGATATCATTGCTAATAATAACGAACAATTTTGTTTTATGAAAAATAATGAAAACCTACCAATATTCACTTGTTATACAAATTTAGTTATGTTATGTGAAGTACGTGAAATTTTTGCTGATGGTACTTTTATATATTGTCCGTCATATCATAATTGAGATTCTTTAATATTAAAATATAACTTATAAATGAAAATCGGTTAATACTTTTCTTAATTATCAAATTAAACAAATTATAACATAGTAAAACATACTATTTTCTTTTTTTTATTGTTTTATTTTTTTTTTCATTAGGTACATCATTTTTAAAATTAATTTTCCTAAAATATTTTGCCACCCCTGGACATGTACCTACCCGTGCCCCCTTTAAATACGGGCCTGATTACCATTATTTTGAAATAATTTACTATTGACCATAGATGGACTATTGTCGATCGTTATCACATGACCATACAACACAAAATTTAGAGAAACCCGTCAATCATAATGTACCATTGTAAATAATATTATATCGATTACGTATATGTACTTATTTTTACTTACTGATAATAAGCGACTTACAAACACGTATTATTTTTACGAAGTAAATATTTGCCATCATGAAATTTCAAAAATTTGAGTTTTAAGTAATAATACCTTTTAGAACGTTTGAAAAATTACAAATTATTATAAATTCACTTTTCTTAACAAAACATTTTTTTTCTAGCATATTTTAATTGTATTTTGAACAATTCATTTTTTTTAAGGTACATAAGGTAGGATAACTACGTTTGAAATTAATCATCCATTTATTTCGGGGGGAGGGGGGGTTGAACCCCCCAAACCCCTCTCTGCGTCCACCACTGTTTTATATACTTTTTAAACAAAGGTATATACATTTTACATTTTAGTGCCCAAACGTGGTATATTTTTAGGGATATAGAGTGCCCAAACTTTGGGTGGATTTTGAATACCCAACAGATAAAAATGCCCAAACGTGCTGCAAGGATAAACAGAAGGAATTCACCGAACGGATGTAGGAATAAAAAAATATCGATTGGGAAAGAAATGTCGACTACCAATAGTGTTTCCCCAAACATATAGGAGCAGAGGGGAGGAAAAACATCCTGAGTGGTCAAGAATGTAATAAACGAGTAAACATTTTAAATTGTTTGTATCCTTATCGAACCATATCATAAAAATGCCGAGTTCGGAGTTGTCGCGTTGACGGATGTTAACTATACTGTGTTATTATAAATATTGTATTATTTTTGGTTTTAACGAGTTTTCAATTTCGTTTCCGTTTATCTTAATTCATAGATGAAAATAATAATTATAATAATATTAATATACCGAACACTTCAAAGTAATTCATTGTAATAATCATTCGACAAAATTTAAAAAATGTAAGCACTACACGAGTGCCTGTAACGGAACCAAAAAAAACCAATCGTTCCAGAACGTTGTCAATGATTTCGTTCGTTCCGCCATCGTTTACGAGCCTCTTCGTAAAAAAAAAAAAATTCCGACCGATTCGTTTTGCATAGGTATACGAAAATGCGTCAACGGAGTTTGAATAACATAATACTTAACCAGAGCGTTGTAGCAGTAGTAAAATAGATTAGGTAGAATACCTGTATATTTGTTTTATTAAATCAAAACTGTTAACAAAAATGTTGCATTAGTGCTATGCGAAAATTAACACGCGTAAAATCAAGATAAAACTAAAACGAAAATCGTCTCAGGAATGCACGTAAAGTTTATGTTCGTAAACGAACTAGCAATGGGAATTTTGTTGAGATCTGAAAATCCTGGTTTTACTATAAATGTATACCTGAATCTAAGGTATGAAAATTTGCTCTAATCCGAAATTTCTTCGAATAGGGATTCTATTATACATTATTCATAGTTAAGTCATAATTACATGTTTTTTTTTAAATAAATTAATGAGTTTAATATATTTACAGTGAGTTTATTCGATTCAAAATCTAATCACAATTGGAACTGTATTTTAAATAATTTTATACATTCAACCAAATATCAAAACCGTTACAATAAACGTAAGGGCGAAACTAAGGGGGCAAAAAAGGGCAATTAATTTTTAAAGAAATTCTAAATTTACCCATATATGACCCAATATTTAAACTGCTTTTGGCATTTCAAATTTTTATTTTATAAATATATAAAAATATTTATATTTTAAATTATTTCCTACCCATTGCACAATTTTTTTTTTTCAAACACTAGTTTTAATTTAATATTTTTTTGTATTTAGGTACCCCGTAAGTTATAATTAAATATCATAAAATAAGATAAAAAATTTAACATGTTTAAAAAAGTAAAACTACACTTAATAAATAACACTAAACATGTTTTGATAATTGGTTGCTCCCTCTGATGAAATCGCCAGGATTGTTACCTGGGAGGTGAGAAGTGAGAGGTGGAAACTAGGAATTTTTACGCCCAGAGAAAATGTTAAAATAACGCCCTATCATAGACCAATAATCAACTACTCTTCTCGAGAATTGTTTTCTAATAATTAATATACAATCATACTAATTGAGTTTTAAACTAATATCAGTATTTAACAAAGTTAAGAATATATCAAATTAGTTGTTAATAATTACAAAAATTACACCCTCTAAAATTTTAATAATTTTAATGAATCCCCGTCTTCCTTCTCCTAGTTCCGCCACTGCTTGGGAAATACAAAGTATTCCAACACTAAAATTGAAGATAAACGAGTGCTAGTCAATCGTGCTGTAACTTAACCATGGTAAACGTAGTAAGATACGAACAAAATTTTTATTGCAGCAAACGCTAAGAAAAATGTATTAACAATGTAATCGAAAGAGTTGAGCAACAACCATAGGCGTGTGCACCGGTGTGGCTTATAGGGCTATAGCCACACCTAAGACTCTTTTTTAGATAGGTAGGTACTAAGTACTTAGGTAAAAAGGGCTAATAATTCTTTTTTTTGGAAAATCGAATTTTTTTTATCAATTTTATCAAATTACAAAAAAATTAAAAAATTTACAAATTTCCTGGACTGGCGTTCATTGATAATCAGATTGTACATCAGTTTTTCTAAGAAATTTTACTTCTACTTATGTTTTGTATATCTATTTTTTTTTTTTACGGTAGGGTTTTATAAGGGGGTGGGTGATCAAAATATATAAAAGCCACACCGGAAACAGGAATCTGCGCACGCCTATGGCAACAACCTAGCCAACGATTTCAACTGTTATAAAAAATATTTCGCGTAATACCTAGCTGATTAGATTACGACCAATACAATTAAGGTTTAAAAGATAACGTTTGTTTTTAGTGCACCTTTTTTTTAAACCTAGGCGGGTGCACAAGCATCCACCTCATTACGATTGTGTGCCCGCCATACAAAGGTCTTTAGTGCCAATGGTTGCACGCGAAAATCGCTATGGGAAGGGGTGTAGTACGAGCCACGTGCCTTCACATAAGGGTCCTGCGAACACACCGCTGGAACAATATCTCAGCAATATCGAGATGACGGGGTTAACTTACCCAACAGGTGCTGCCATCGGCTAACCGAACAGTTCTCGAAAACCATTTGGCCGCGTCGTTTTGAACAGTCTTCGGTAGATGGGGCGGCAATGCCGTTGCGCCGCGGTCGTAATAGCAACAGATAACGATAATTTCTTATCACACCATGTTATTGACGATCCGCCGTGATCGCAACTCAAGACGTTACTTGTGTTGATTACGAACTTCTATTGCATGCCGTGTTTGGTAACGGTCGAAATGGGGCTCGATCGGAAAATTTTTGGAAGGATCGAGCTTGATTGATCCCGGCAGTGGTCCACCGCATGAACTAAGAACATGTTCTGAACTATAACTCCCAGTAAGTATCGCAGTCGGTTCAAATCCGCAATCACTGGAAACAACACTATTTTACTAATAATAATCTACTTAACTCAATATTTAGATCATGCTTTTAAAGATTGTTTTTTGAACTTCGAAAACCAGGTACAGGTACAAGTGATTTGAACCTTTACTTCAAAAAATTGTTCTGACTTCTCACCTGATTTACATTATAATTGTTTTAACATTAAATTGTTAATTATTTTGCACTAAATATTTTCATGAATTAACTACTAATATGCCGACTAAATTTTAATTTATGTATTATTAAATTTTTGATACTAGGTACTATGTTGATGGATTTGAATCGAATCCTTGCTAGATTCCCATCTCGGCACTTTGTTTACTGTTTTGCATATGGATCTGGTGTGTTCCATCAAGCCGGCCGCACCGAACGTGCTATGGTTGACTTGATATTCGTTGTCAACAACACGCATGGCTTCCATCAGGACAATCTAGATGCTAATCCAGATGACTACTCATCGATTCGACTTCTAGGACCATCAGTTGTATCTAGTCTCCAAAAACAATTTGGTGCTAATGTGTACTTCAATACACTCGTATCAGTTGGTAATTTAACATTCAAGTACGGCATTATAGATGTTCAAGATTTCCGCCGTGACCTCCAATCTTGGCATACACTATATATAGCTGGTCGATTACACAAGCCAGTGTTGACGCTATATGACCAGGGATTAAGTGAATTAGTTGAATACAATCTTAAATGTGCTGTGCACGCTGCATTACTTCAATTACCCAATAAGTTTTCAGAAGAAGACTTTTATACAATGATTGCAGGACTATCGTACCGAGGAGATTTTCGCATGATCATTGGTGAAGATAAGAATAAAGTGTCAAACATTGTACAACCTCAAATTGAGAAGTTCAGATCATTATACACACCAGTCTTTAAATCAATGAGTCATAGATTGTCTATACATTGTTCGTCTTTTGAACAAGAGAATAGTTTAGAAAGCAAATGTTATCATTTACAAAGGTTACCACAAAATTTAAAAGATATTTTACACAGATCTTATAAATTTAATGATCTAGTAAATGATGAGAATAAAACTTTTCGAGAATTAGCCAAGCGGGAAGATGTTGGTAAAATTGTACGTAACGGTATTTTTAGGATAGTGTTTTATTCAGCCCTTATGCAAAGTATAAAAGGAATACCAACAGCTGGCTTACTTAAATCGATTGTCTATAGCTATAACAAGTTGAATAAAATGGTCAAATCTATGTTTTTATAGTCTGTTTATATAAATAAGACTGCGGATAGTATATTTTGTTGTTATATAATTGTAATTTTGTTGATTGAAATTAAACCATAACTTGTTTATGTAACCTTAAAAAACTACAGTATACTTATATAGAACATTATTTTTCTTTATAAGAGTATCACCTTATTTTTCATTAAGTTAAGATTATTTTATTTATTATTATTTTGTTTTTTAAATTATTTAATTTACTAAATTTTGATTTCATTAATATATTATTGTTACAAACATTTTTAGTTTTGGTACAGAACATCATTGAATCAATACGTTTAAACTTATATGGTAAAAATATCAACAGTTATGATGTGCAATGAAATAAAATAGTAGTTGTGAAGTGAAATATAATGAAACATCTACAGCTATGATATAAAATATAACTTAATATGAACAGAATTCATGAGTAATTAAGTTGATAATCTATTTAATTTGAATATTAGTAGTGTATAGAATATAATTTAATAATTTTATGCGGTACCGTAAAATTTGGCAATTTTTTGGGGGGGGACTTGCTCATATTTTGGATAAAATTAGAATTTGGAACAAGGACTTAGTTTCAAAGTTATAGACAATTTAAATTTAAATCTATACTAAAAACCTTACTCATTATGCATCAATACAATATAACTATTGAATGTAGGTATGTTATTAATCAAGAATCGAGTTATTTCTTGTTTTATTCTATTATTTATTTATTATTTAAGTATTTTTTATTTACTTGAAATTTAGGTTGCTTTGGACCTAAATTAATGTCATCCAAATCATCAGACTGTATATTCAAATTTAAAACATCCTTTTTCAGTTCAATTTTTTCATCATTGTTGTTATGTTCATACCGTTCATGGTTACATATTTTATTTATTTTTGAATCATTAAATGGTTCTTAACAGACATGTCAAAATTATTTATTTGTGTTTATGTTATCTGTTTCATTTTGTTTTTAATATTCAAAATTGAAGGACATTCTTAAAATTAGTCTAATTACTCGTCATATTTTTGTTGATTAAAGTAATTTTACAAAAAGGTGCTTTATGCTTATTTAGAATTTGCGTCCAACGTCAAATCGTTTTGGGACATTCTGTAAATGAACTATAGATAAATACCTACCTACTGTGTCTTGTTAGTAATTCTTAGATAGCAATGTAATTTAACTCTGTCCATAGTAGCACTTCCCGAAAATATTTTCTATATACGCCACTGGGTTAGTGTAAACCACTCACCAAAAATGACTATCAGAAGGGTATGTAAAAAAAAGAGTTCGTAGAGACAACGGCATACAAAAAAATAAGGAACGTCGGACTCGGTCAACGGATCGGTGGCGAGATTGAGCAAAGCTTTTTCGATCTTTTAAGACCGTGGTCGTAACCCTCGAAGTTCGAAACAGACAGGTTGAACTATTTTGACAACAAGGAACATACAACCATTTACAATGACAATAGTAAGATTTACGATATGGGGGAACAGTTGGAAGTATACGATAGTGGGCCTACACGCCGTAACACCACAGATATATCTAGTCTTCATGAATAAAACAATGAGCTTATTGATAATAAATTCTGTCGATATTAGAATGCGCCCAACATTTGAATTGAACCAATAAGGACACGATATTAAAGAAACGCGCTGTGGCGTCCTGGATAACTTAATACGCAACAGGGTCGCGAAAAGAATAAAAAATAAAAGAAAACCTCTTAAAATGAATATATTGGCAATACGAAGCGTAACAACTTGCTTGGATATATTAACGTAACGCATCAGGATTTTCAAAAAAATTTGAACGAGAAATAGTGCATCCATGTTATGAATAACAAATAAATCGCTATATTGATCCTTCTATTCTCGCACACGCTAAAGAAAAATAGTTAGAAATATTTAAAAATAAATAAATAGAAACGACATTCGAGTAAGGGTGAATAGAAACTATTAAACCCACAACAGATCTCAGTAGTAAGTCGGTTAATGTTTGTTTATGATTAAAATAAATTGTTGTACCTAAATAAAAACTTCTACATTTAAATAATATTCAACGACACACGGATTGACACACCGCGACGGAAATAACCATGAGTCTGGTAATCTATGTCCAATGTTATTTGTCTTATTCTATTTGCGTTTGTTAAATCATTTCATTCAAATAAATTACATTTTTAATCATTTCTGTCAAAAGTATATGAGTAAGTATTAATATTAACAAAAAAAAAAAATTAAAAAACTAAGCCTTTTTTAATGTACTCTTTTTATCGCGATTAAGAAGTATTTAATGTTAAAAGACATCATTTTTAATATATAATCCATATTTCAAATTATAATACAACATTATATTTGTACATGGTTATATTCTAACATGCGCTATAGCCTAATAGTTTTAGTAAAAATCGTTTTGAAACTTAAATGAGAGCGTACAAAAACGATTACACCTTTAACAGACATCAGTATTCCAATGGTTAATGTTTTAAAATAAATTGTTGTAATTAAAAAACATTTAAATTTAAATAATATTTTTTGGTGGCATACCGCAACGGGAGCAACGTTGAGACAGTAATCTATGTCCAATATTACTTATTGTCTTATTCTAATCACGTTTGTTCAATATTGTCATTTTCTTACAAATTATATTTTTTATAATTCCTGCTCAATGTATATATATATATATTAATAATAATAAAATAAAAAATGAACGATTATTTATTTTTCTTTAATTTTTAAAGTGTAATTAATTATTGAAATATTATATTTGTTTTTTTTTACTAGAGCTAACAGTCGAAATCTAAGAGCCGATCCAGAGTGAAATGAAACTATGAGTGACAATCATTTATCTACTTACTCCCAGGAATAACGGTTCGTCGTTTTTATTTTGAATAGCAACTGTAATTATAACAAAATCGATTAAATTTATGTTTTTAAATTTCGAACTATTTTTTTTACATTTAATCCATTAACTTTTTCAACTTTATATAATTAGGTATTCTCTGTTATGTAAATAATATTCATCCGTTACTTAAATAAATTTTTTTCCTTTCTATATTTATTTTAATTAATTATGCTCTCAAATTTATAAGTTAAATTTAAATTTATTTGAATTGGTACTAAAAGCTGTTTCGTGACGTTGGGAAAATGCATTGCAATAGCTCTAAAAGGATCTTTACTGACCTCCATGGCTGGTATTCCAGGTAGGAGGTTGATCGGTGGGCAAACACCTCACCATCGTAAAAAACTATTTTTTAGGAATTTATCAATCACCTTGAGCAGAGTAATGGAATCAAGACTGGTGTTATCTATATTTAAGTATGGTATTTCTTTTCTTATTTACTATGGATTTTCTAGGTAAAACGGAATAGAATTTGTATTTTGGCTTCCAATAAGGATTTAAAATGTTATAATTTTAATTTTGTCTGGTGTTGGATATTTTTGTTTTTTATTAATAACCGTGGTTTTTATTTATTTATTTATTTTTGGTTTTTTAATTATGTAGTGTTGAATAGTAATAATTATTATGTTTTGATTTTTAATGAGGGACTTTATTTTTACTGTTTGATATAGGATTATTTATTGTTCTTTGGCTGTTCTTTTTTTATGATTTTTGCTAGATATAAATTTGATGAATTGTTGGCATTTGGTGTTAGATATATTTTTTGTCTATTTTTATGTTTTGGTTCTCAGGTTCTTTTTTTAGGCATTTTTGTAGGTAGTATTGAATAGCCTTTATGTTCTGGTTTCAATTTAGGCATTATATTTTACTGTTTGATTTCTTGTTGATTTATGGTTCTTTTGATTTTTGATAGATATTTGTTTGCTGTACTGTTGGTGTTTTGGATTTGTATATATTTTTTTTATACTTGTATTTCTTATTTATATTTTTGGTTGTTTGAAGGTAGGGTAGAACCGCTGTTCATTTGTTTTGGTTTCTAATTAGAAATCGCCATTTTACTTATTTTATAATATTTTAAAAATCTGATAAAATATTTAAATTAAAATTTTATATTCAAATATTTATAAATCTTATTTAAGAATTTCAAATACATAAAATCACTTTTATATAATAACTATAATTTAATAATCAAATACAAATATTATTATTCAAATTTTATTAAGTTTCTTTTCAGAACTGGGATTTTTTATTTTCATCTATCTAGATCAAAATTGCTTCAGGAGTCAGGTAACCCCTTTTTATTTATTTTTTAATTTTTACCTCTTCATTTTTAATGGTGTAAATATGATAGTTTTGTAACTTACTTAAAAAGTTTTGAAATCTAATAAATTATTTAAATTAATGCTTTATATCTAACTATTTATAAATCCGGTTTAAAAATTTTAAATAAATATATAATCTTTATATAATTACTCTCATTTAATTATCAAATAATAATATTTTAATTCAATTTTTTTATAAATAATAATAATAATAATAATAATTATTATTATTATTATAAATAATAAGTTGTGACATAACTTTACTCACGGGAGTGGGTTCATGGGGTTTGAACCTTCCCCATTGGCCGTATTTTTTTAAAATTACCTATTCCAATAGTTTAATAATAATTGATTATTGATTTTATTGATTATAAGTTAGTGGTTTATACGTCATTAGTATCATGGTTATCAAGTTGGATTGGAGCACAACCATAGAAAATATTCTGACACGACCGCGCTATTTAACGATTTGGTGACAATTTGTGATAATGTGGTTTTTTGTAATTATTATGACCAAGGCGGGGTGTGGGGGGCAGAGCCCCCCACTTTTGTATTCCAGTAAATTTTCAGAGCCCCCCCATTGAAAATTCCTGAGAACGCCACTGCAGTGATCTATATAAAGTTGTAACAATAACCGTGGTTTTATTTGAAGAAATAAAACATTAACGTTATATTGTTATGTATAATAAGCGCATCTGGTTGAGGCTATGTGCAGGATCTAGTTTTTATTTCAGGGGGATAAATAGGTAGGTAAACTTTCCAAAAAAATGTATTTGTTTGTTAATTATTTAGTCCTATGGCTTACCACATACGAGAATATCCCCATAGAATATACCCCGAGAATTTACGATACGACCCTACCCAGATAGAAAATCTAAAATAAACATTGGCTGGATCAATCACTCAGTTTCGGCTGTCAGGCTTCAAAGCACTTACCAAAATGAAATAATAATATATTGCAATATTAGTATATAGTATAGAGCAGGGATGGCAAACTTTTTGAACACTGCGTGCTCAAAATGACCTTTTTTTTTTTTTATAGAGCGTGCCATGAAAAATATATCAAAAATATCGTATTTTGTTATATTATATAATTTGATTGTATAATTAATGTATTAGTATAAAAAGGGTAGTTTAGGTACATAATAATAATAATATATAGTAAATAATAATATTGCTTTGTAATTTATTTATATTATATTATAGGTCCTATATTATATATTATATAATATAATATATAATAGTAAAAATTTTCGCGTGCCATGGATTTTCCATTCCTGGTATAGAGTCTTATGAAAAACTTTTAAAATTCTCAAACTATTAACTGTACCAAGTCTGTACTTCGCGTGAGCCTAAACGTAAAAACTAACACATTCTAGGGCGGCATGAAAGAGTGAAATAAATCAATTCATTTATTCTCGACCGTTGCTGTTGACAAGAATAATAACTGATCTCGTTGACCACGTAGAGGTCAAGATCGTCGGCGCACACTGCGAAGCATAAAGTAATATTGCACCAAATGACAAATGCGTTGTGCATTGTGATCAGAAAACCTTGCAGCGCACTTCTATCGCTTGGATGGAATACCTAATACTGTCTTAAGATAATCATAGAGAGAGAGAGAGAGAGAACACAAAAACAAAGCTGAACAAAGAATGAGGTGAACATTTGTCGTTTCAAAAATATGTGTATATTTTAGATTTTCATGTATAAATTATTTACAACAAAATAATAGAACTTAATTTATTTTTATTTAATTGTACGCCACAAATATGTCAGGTCATAATAATGTACATATTCGTTAATAAAATAAAAAATAAAACATTAATTAATAATCAATATTATAATACGTGCTACGAAATAACTATTAAATACTATTTTTCATTTCGGTTTTATTAATTTTCAATATTTTCTTTTTTTTTTTTTTTAGAGATCAATAAGTAATAATTTTAAACCTCTACAAAACAACATACAAGCAATGAAAATCGTTTCTAAGAAAAAAAAACAAATTCTTAAAAATTTTACCCGTGAGTTTACAACAAGTGAGCTTAATGTACATAAACTCTAAAATAAAATATGATATAAATGTATTTTCTTTAAACCCTGTGTATGAGACCACATCTTATAATAATACTACCAAAAAATACAACGAGGGGAAAAAAAATTAATAATTAAAGTTATTAATACAAAATTTAACTATTCACGAGCAGCAATTGAATTGCACAATCGTGTTACAAATAAAATTAACATACATTCCTCTTTACTGACAAACATTGTACGACAAATTTTTGAAAAAAGAAAACATTTTTTAATTCTATTACATGTTAAAATAGTTTTAATGTGCACATTTTGCCATATACTCTAAAATATTAATACATAAAATGATCTATTTTAAGGATTACGAGGAATGTTAGCTTAAAACTAAAATTGTATTGAAGACAACAGACGTATATATTTTCAATATATATCTAAAATATTTTATTATATAAAATTAACATATAAACAAGTCTTGTTCTGGTTAATGTTTACCCAACACAAGTAAAGCTTAATTAACTTAATTTGTGTTTGATTGAACAAATTTGGGTATCACATTTTCAATGTATAATTATTTATAAATATGCACGGTTTTAGTCGTACGCAACTGAAAGACATTAACAGCATAGACAATTCGGACAGTTAGATAAAATTATTTTAATTTTTTAAAAGTAACCTATTTAGTAATACAACTTATGAGGTATTTGATTAAATTACACTTAAAAAAAACAATCATGTGTTTATATATTTATTCATCATAAATGTATAGTAATAAAATAAAATAATAATAAAAATAAATTTATTTAAATAGACATATTTACACGAATCAACAATTTATAACAACATATTTTTAAAATTACTTATATTTTTATCAACTTTTAATTTTCTAAATTGAGGAAGACATTTTTGTTTTTATCAATCACCTATTTGCTTATACATAGTAAAAATAAAAATTTTTTAACATTGGGCGATAATGTAACTGTATAAAAATATAGTCTAGTTTCAGACATGTTTTTTTATTTTCGCACACACTACAACTTGTCAACTCTTTGTAAAATAATGTCAGTCGATTTTTTTTTTAATATTAATAAAAAAAAAAAAAAAAAACCATAATATACTACTGGTAACGTAACATTCTTCAGATGCAAGCATCAATCGTTGCGCTATGTATATTTCGTTGTGCGGCAGTCTTAAGGGATGTGCCACTGGCGCAGTCAGAGACTGTTTATAACTCAATAGAACTATTACATTTTGTTTTTGGGGTACACTCAAATACCCTGTATGGATTGCACCCCAAAAATACCATTAGGAATTAGGTATGAAATAGTCCATATTTAACATACAAATTAAAAACATCCAACTTGGTAACATATTAAGAAAAATGCATTTTCTTTGATTAAAACTTGTATATGCTGATTAAATGTAGGCGCACGGTGGGTTGGAATTCAGAAGACTACATTAAGAAGCTTGTTCAAGTTTAAGGGCTGTTTTGGTTATTCCAGAAGACACAGGTGGGGTCATTGATGTAGACATATTAAGTTGTAGTTGCATCGAAGAACTTGTTGACGCTGTCGACAAGTCTTGAGGGCCATCCTGCCATGAGTTGGGTGGACATGGCATGCTCAGGTCAGTAGGTTTATAGTCTTCGTCGGACATGTCTCCGGTCACCGATTCATTTTTAGTAGTGGTAGTGGTTGGAGTTTGAGGCGAAGATGCCATTTGTTGACGCAACAACGATATATTCTTTATGCATTTCAGCTCGCTCGGATTACGCAGAAATCTGTACAGAGAACAAGAGAATTATATCAAGTAAGTCGTTGATTAAAAAATGAAATAAACATCACTTACTGGTAACAATGTCGTTCACCTTGCACCTTCCTGAGAATGTTTACCCTGTAATAATAACGTAAGGCTCGGGACATTTTGTCATAGTTCATGGACAAATGATTCTTTTGAATGCCCCATAATTTTGCCAGACCGGGAGGATCGACAATTTTGAACACACCCATTTCTTGATTTTTCCAAGCAATGAAGCTGGTGAACCGTTGATGGGTATCGTTTAGAAGTTGCTGGAGAAAATCCCATAAGAGACGACCATCTGTAAATTATAAGCCATTTAATAATCGGAACATTTTTTTTTTTTTTTTAATGAACTAATAATAACACACTAGTATTAGGTTCAATGGAGTTGGAGTCGCCGGACGGGAAGAAGATGTTTCCATTAGACTGTTTGGGTGTAGATGGGGAGTATGGCGGAGGTGACGTGGACGAAGACGGCGTGGTCGGCGTAGGCGGTGGTAGATTCAGTGTACCACTGCTGGCAGATGATTCTTCGGGATCCGAATCGGATTGATTGCTGCCGCCAGAGCTTGTGCCGCCGTTGTTTGAGTATCCTGGAAACGATTAAAATCATCAAACGTTTTACATAATGTGCGCGCACGGCAGCGAAAAAATATCGAATGCGCTCCAGGGTGAGAACGTACCAACTGTTGGAGTCGTCGGGAATATGGACACACTGGGCGTGAGGTGGTGTCCGACCGTGGTCGGCGGTTGTTGGTGGTAGTCCATGTGCCGAGGACTTTCCGACTGGCTGTCTATGGACGGCGCCGGGCTGAGAACGGCCGGAGAAGACGGCGCCGGGAGGCACCAAGTGGGGCTGAACGGGAAGTGCGAAGCGACCGGGCTGCCGGGCAAATGACCGGAACCGGTGGCGGTCAACATCTCGCCGCCGCGTCGCAACAGCTGCAGCACGTTGTAGAGCAGGTCGCCGGCGCCCGGGCACCGTTCGCCGAGGTCTTGTTTGGTCAACAGGCACAGCGCTTTGCCGTTCATCTGGAACAGTTCGGTGTCGAACCGCGGCAAGTCGAACTCGATCTCGGCCCATTGCACGAACGTGGTCACGTCCTCCTTGGTCCAAATCCTCGGGTCCGTGACTGCAAACACGGTAATGATCAATCACGTTTGCACGAAATCCGTGAACGCGTACTCCTGTGGTGGTGTCACACGCGTGACACGTGCGCAGGAGGAACACTGTCGCTTAAGCGGTACGTTAATACTTACTCAGGTTGGCCGGCAAGTGGTGTTTGAAGTCCAGGGGCGACGGGAACGGCGTTGGCGGCAACAGCGTGGGCGAGGGTGGAAAATTGAACGCACCGCCGTGGTGCGGGTGATGGTAACGCCAGAACAAATCGGCGGCGGCTGCAGCGCCGCTGTTGAACACGAACGCCGCGGCCGCTGCGTTGTTGGTCATCCCGGGGGTACCGTTTGTCGCAGCGCTTACTCCTCCACCTCCTCCTCCGACTCCTCCACCAAAACCACCCCCACCACCACCACCTCCGCCGCCACCGACAGTAGCTCCGCCGTGCCGCGTTAGTGTAGATACCTGACCCGGAGTCAGAGGCATCAATTTCATGATGCCTTTAAAGTTCGGTTCTGTAACAAAAAAAAATATTACGATTACTTAATCAACAGTGTTCCAATATTATTTCTTGTTAATCATTGTTCAGTGCACAAAGGACGTAGGAAAAATTGTGGAACAGTTTAAAAAAGATTCCGGGTTTCATTCGTGGTAACGACCATCTTCTAATTCTTCAGAATACGGTTATAATTTATCAAAATTTAACAATACATTCAAATATACTCCCGGGTAAGATTGTAGTCATTGTTCTTGCAAAATATGTAGAATTCAAAGCTATACAACGGTCGTTGTTAGTCTATTGTCCTGTGTTTTCAGACGGTTTTTTTTCAAAACATGTTTACTTGCTCTCGCTCAAAAGAGAAGTTTTATTGTTATATGTAGCGGTTTTTTCTCTCGACCTGCACCTACTGCCTACCTATATATATATATATATGTATATAATTCGATAACTGCTGAGCTGCTACTGTTATTAATAGTCAGGCGAACAACGAAAAGCATATCAAACAAAACTACTTGAAGATAATCTTAGGATTGGTCTAAAAAATGAAAAATAGTATATTTTTATTTCAAATCAACACTCCGCTTCACTGATCTCATACACGTCATGACGAGTGAGTAATTAAACATTCTATTAATAACGATAAAAAATATGTCATGATAATTGTGCAATTAACGAGACACTCGTGGCCCGCAAGACCCCGCACGCACATAGATACGTTAGAATTCTAACCGTTTTCCGTGTAGTAAAATAATTATTACGTTAGAGGAAATCTGAATCTAATCTGAAATCGGTTATCAAACGAGTGGATATGTCGAGATCTACGTAACGAGCGAAACAAATGAAACGTTTCTCATGAATAAATTACGCGTCGTTGCAATTTTATATGATTTCGAAAATGTTCCCAGTCGTTAGGTCGAACTGCTCAACGTCGTTTATAATGAACTATGAATTCATGGTAAAAATTGATAACGGAAGTACATGTCGTTCAATTTGTAGTACAGTAAATTCCAAGACCCGAGTATTTATGTAGAGCATTTACGTATACCATGCCACGCCCAAGACATTGCGCGTTCGACAATAAACTTATTACTGTGTTATCATTGCTACGCATAAAAATAAAACCTCTCGAACGGACGACGAATTTTATTTTAAAGCCAACGCACAAATCCTATAATTTTTTATTGATTTAAACAAGTCGATTTTCACATGCTTTTAATCGCTTTACACTAATGTTCGCGACTGTTCGTGTTTTACGGTTCGATCAGGTGTTCAAGTTTATAGCTTAGGTACTTCCCTCGTCCTCTGGTACCGACGATATAGATCGAGAGGAAAAAACGAATCGCACCATCACCACGCTGTATACAATTAGCACGTTAGATTATTTCGCGTACACGAGAAGCACGTGGTGTAGAATGTGGTTTCCGGAAAGAGTTGCACTACTGCGATAAACGCGTCGACAAAACAATAATACGTCATTAATTAATTTAGAACAGTGGGGGAAACGACTGTAAGGCGTCCGACAACAGTCATATTTCAATGTGTCATCATCGATTTCGGGTCGTACGTACACATGTTGCCGCTTATTCAGTAATATTATTATGACTTACGAGTAGGTTATGACGGAAAACCAGGAAACACGCTCATGGTAACCGTTTAGTTTCCTCGTATAACATGTACAGTACAGCACATTGTTTTTATTAATAATGTAAAACGTTGCATGGAATAACAATTTTCGACCAGGTCGAATTAGTATATTTCACATACACACATGCGAAAATATCGTCACGAATATTGTAGAACAAGTATACGTCACGTTTGTTTACTGCAAGCGCTCCGCTAATGTACGGCAATTAATTTTTTTTTTAAACGCGTCCGCAAGAACTCGTTACATAATTATTAGTCATGACGGCGTTTTGAAATTTTTTCGTATTATTCTCCGACTAAACCGTTCCGTCTAATCTTATCAAAAGAAGTTTATACGCAACACAGTTTACTACTTTTATTGGTCGTACGATGAGCAACGTAAATCGACGATACAAATTGTATTCAGCAGTACTCGTAATATAAAAATGGCAACAAAATAAATCTGTACGACAAAACGAAATAAAAAAAAAAAAAAAAAAAAAACGATACAATATTATCTAATATGCAACGGAACGAAGTCGATTATTATCTGCTAATTAAAGCGAACTAATGTAAACGTGTAGTTTTCGTTCACCTGGGTCACAGGCCAAAGTAATGTATTTGATAGTTGCTGTTGCGATCGGACGCCACTGCGGATGTTATCGATGCGCACTGTACATACAACGTACACAAGTGTAAAGGTCGAACACTACAATAATAATTGTGAGATAACAAAATATTATATTTCACCGCCGAGCACCATCCGTGTAAAATATTTGATATTCGTTTATCAAACGAGTGGGAGACAAGCGAACCGTTTCCAACGCGTTTTTTCGATGGTTAAAATAATCTGCAGAAGTAAATCGCACAACAATAAATCAAACACCTTTACCGCGGACGATTTCGTTGTAATACGGGGAACGAGACGCCTGTTCTGCGAAGCTTTACGCGGGTACTTGAAAAAAAAAAAAAAACACAAGCACATACACGTTCGGTATATGGTTCTAACCCGAGTCTGGATCCGGGTACACCCGGTAGGAAGGTCAAACGAATCGATTACCATAATAATATACACGTGCACGGACGTATGTATTATTATTATTATGCGCGTGTACGTATGGCAATGCGTGCGAGCGCGAGAAACGGGCGCAGCCGGAAACACAATTTTTTACGCGGCCGCGGCGGTGCGATAATTACATTCTTCCGACCTTTTTTTTTTCTTCGGTCGTATTTCGTTTTGAATTACCATAGTACAACGTCGGCGGCCAGACGAATGCGACGAGAATATTATTACCGAGCGTATTAATACGTACGTACATTACACGCGCACGGTTATTGTTTTAATAAGCTAATAACAACAATGTTAATACATCGTGATTGCACGTCCTGCGAGCAGCTGCGTTTTGTTGGCGCGCGTCGGAATTCGATGTTTTGAGAAACGTTGCACGCCACTGCCTTTTGTTTACGCGACATCGAACGATGACCGCCGTCGACACCGGGGAGACGACGATGGACGCGGTCCGGGTGTTTTACAAACATAACGCGCGACCGTCGGTCGTTACGGAAAAAACACGACGTGTTCGCCGCCCGACGTGCCTTACGTACGGGAAAAAGTATTATATCAACGACGATAAATAAAATAGTATTATTATGATAAACCGGTCTAAAAATAACAGATCGCGTAACCGACGTCGTTTCGCGCACAAATGAAAAAAAAAAAAAAAAAAAAAAAAAAAAAAAAAACGTTTATCAAGAATGAAAAACTCGTCCGTCCGTTTCGTCTCGGCCGAAATAATGTGTCCGAAATTACGTATATTTATTACGTTATTATACCGCTTGCGTACCACTGCTGCTGCTACGAAAATACGATATGCATTCGAAACGATCCGTCTTCTCGTTACCGATCAATACCATTACGTATTTTACTGCTGGAATCACACGCGTAATAACCGATATCTCGTTATATTATTATACACACGTCCGTCCGGAGGAGGAAGGAAAAAAAAAACCAACAACAAAACCGACGACGATTACAACACGGGCAGTCACCGACGACGCGGAGCGTTCCCGTCTCGTCGTCGTGTTGGACGAAATTATGTACACTTCCCGTTCGGTTGTGTGCGGTGTAAAAATTATCGTAGAGAAAGAAAGGAAGAAATAGTTACCGAGAAAGATTATTTTATTTTTTTATCGTTATCGTAACGATTTTACGTGCACGCGACATTTTCACGAATGGTCGACGTCGTCGCTTTCCTGGTTGAACGAGACGACCTCATGTGGGGGAGGAGAAAATCTGACGACGTGATTCGTCGAACGCGGAAATACGGTAGGCGCAGCAAAACTTTAGTCCATCGGAACCGACGGGAATCGTCCGTTGTACCGAATATTTTTCCTTTTCCGTTTTGCCTTAGGATCAACGCGAATGCTGTGAACGTGAAACGTTATTACAGGAACAAGTAACAGTTTAAAACGACTGAAATCGCTTAAAACGCGTTTACGTTGTTATTACGATATTTCTTCCGGGACCACGTCGGTGGTAAACATCGTTCGTATCTTCTGCGTTAGCAGCGCGAAAAAGTCGGTCGGCCCGTTGCAGGCTCCTCTCGATCGCCGGATGTGGTGTGTCGTCTAATCACCACAAATTGTTATGTTGTCATTCGAGTTTTGTCGGTTCCAACCGCGCATAAATGTACCCACCATGCACCGAACCGTCGTCGACACGACGATATTTTGCTGACATCGAAACCGAGGGGAGACAGTCTAACCATGTCTTCTCTCACTTCTGCTCATTCTACTTTTACAGAAAAATGTTGAAATTACTAACCGTCGTCGTCGTCGGAAACCATTGTGCGGTGTTTCCGTTCCGGTACTTCCGGTATTTATACACGCATTCACGTAATATTATGCGTATTATTAGTTATTTTTTTCTTCGTTCCCCTAATAAGATATTCGACGACCCGAGGTCGTCCTGTGTGGTGCACATCCTGTGCGCATCAAACGATAAGACTTCCGGAGCAAGAGGAGAGGTTTTCCAACGACGGCGCAAAAATTGCCCTCGAACTTAAAATCAAGAGAGGCCAGGCGAGGGGAGGAAGCGTTAACAAAATAACGGGATTTCCGGTGTTTGTCAAAATTAAGAACCTTCACAAAAAAAGCCTTGAACCATCGCCGTGAAAAGGAAATGAAACACGAAAAAAATAAAAATAAAAAAAATAGTGCATAATTTTTGTCACCCAAATACAAAACGAGTTTTCGTGTTAAGATTTATTATACACGTGTATACAAAGCGTAAAAATTATAATTATATGAGTATAACACACACAAGTTATTATTAATAAACGTCTGGCACAATTAATTAACTCCGTTTTAATTCCGTATATTGTACACGTC